ACAAAAGCATCATCAGAAGTGTGCACACACTATGGACCTCCCAGTTTAGAAATCTTTTGCACACACTGTAATCGAAAAAGCAGAGATTTTTTGCTAGACTCTGATCCTGCAAGCATTCACTTGCTTAATGTGAAGCACCTGTTTACCATGAACTGTTCAAGCACTCAAGTGCCAGTAACTCCACAGAATCTTGGCTGCAATATTTTCACAGAAACAGTTGTGTCATCTCTAAATACATTTGCATGTTCAGGTCTTAATCATTACCCAGTGAAGTGAGCTAAAGACCCCACCACATGAGCTGGACAGAACCACAGAAACAAGCGTAGCTGAAGGTGTGAATATAGCAGGAACCAGAAGCATGACAACTGTGTCTTGAAGAGTTCACTGAGTTTCCTCAGGCAACTTATGGAAAGGCTGCACTGTATATAATCTTCTAAATTGTACATGGTTATATATCATATTTACATATATTACTATATATATGGAAAATTCTGGAAAAAACGTTCAAATGATCATAAAACGGATGTCTACAGTTAAACAATGCACCCAAAATTCATTCACTATCTAGTTGCATCAGTCAGGTAGCAGAGGTAAATACTAACCTGGAATACTAACACACCACTCTCTTGTGCAATCTGCTATTCTGGAGATTGGGATTAAATTATATAGCAACAAGAACTTCAGTCAAATCAAGCCATCATACATTAATCTCAACACTAAAACATATTCACTTACTACAATAGTTTATGCAGCACTTCATTATCTCCCTTAAATATTTACTGCCCACTGAAATACAAAGTTTATTCTCTACCTCTGATCAGTCCATGGATATCCACAACTTCTGAAAGTCAAAAATGGACCTCTGAGAACAGTGCTCAGCAGTGTTTGCACCAAGCGTGCGTACGCACGTGCACACACACACATCCACTTCCACGACTCTCCGTAGTAATGTCTAGGTATCATTGCTGGACTGCAAACAATGCTTACATTGCACAGTCCACCCCAGAATACTTTAGAAACAAATGACTATGACCAACAGCACATTTGCAAGGCAGAAGTGGTGTGTGGCTGTGTGTGGCCTGCTCTTGTTCTCATCTCGCTGAGCCTTTCTATCACAGTAAAAAAAGCAGAAACTGTTTCTTTAAAAGAAATTAACATATTAGCCTGGACTAAATGCATGGTTCAATTTCAGCACAAAAACCAGTATACTGTTCTGGTAAGAAGTAACTACAAAGAATGGAGAATTTTCGTCTGACAAGGAAGAAAAGCCACTGCTGCTCCCCCTCCCCCCACCCCCCCTCAAAAAAACCCCCAACCCAACCCCTTCTTCCCCTTTTGTCTCTAGCATGCAAGTTAGAGGCCAATCAAGTCCTAGATTTCATACATCCCTACAGTTTATCATCTTCATACAAGTGCATACAGTACACATATATCCCCTTTAAGTGCCATACATATGGAAAAAAACCACAAGTTAAATTAAATTTATCACAAAATAAATAGGTTTATTCCCACCTCATCCCTTCTACTGTTACCGGTATTATGAACTAATGAGAAAGTCAATAAAATTAGACAGATCTTTGGACAAAAATATATGTCAAAACTGGCTCAGAGAATAAAATTCCTTAGAATAGTATGCAGATCTTTTATATTCAAACTTCATAAATAGCAAGCACAATTTTAAAAATGTCTATATACACCGGCACACACGGCTGTGTGCACCAAATTCGGAATTAAGAGCCTAGAAAAAGTGTAGCTATTCAGCAAAGCCCCTCACTATTTCTCTTGTAAATAAAGATCCTCCCCTCCTCCTTTAACCTCTAAAATAGGCAAGGGACTATAAAAGACATGTAGCATTTAAAAACAAAGTAGAAGAAAACAAAGACTTAGAAACCTAGGGGCAGAGAGCGGGAGGCAACTGTAAAAAATGTCTCCCAAATTACTTAGCATGAAGTAATGCAAGTGTAACACTTTTCAGAAACTCACAGAGTACCTTTTGGGGTCCTACTATCATGAAGAACTGATGGCAGAGGGGAATTAAAAGGTGTGTACTTGGATAGTTCATTTTACAACAGCAGCATTCAGTGAGTCTTCATAAGCAGGTAATTCTTCCTGAGGGCAAAACTATCTTTTTGATATTCTACTTTCCCTGAAGACATAAACCTTTAATACTGAGCTCAGTGCCTGTGGGAAAAAGGCAAGCAGAGCAAAGCCACACGCAGGATATCCAAGAGAACATTTTGCACCCTATACTTTTATCGGTTTGGTAAAGACATCTTTCACTCAGCAACATTTAATTTACTGAGTTTGTCAAATTACAGCCACAAAAATAAAACTGATTATGTATCATGAAGCAGAGTTAATCTTCTCTGTGAATCCTGCTGTGAACAATGCTGCTGTTATTTTCCTGTTTTGCATGTGGAACTGCACGAAGTTTCACTTGTAAAAAGATGCAACCAAAATAGTCCCATAGATATATTTTGCCCCTTCCCAAAATACAGGAAAATGGTGGGGAGGGAGGTGAGACAGACAGTGTGTTTGTGTCTGTGAAGGAGAGAGAGAGAGAAGGAAATGTCTCTGCAGACACAGAAATGCAGCACTAGAGAGACAAGCACTAATGAGGAAAAGAATCCTCCATGCACATTGTGACAGTGAGGCATCAGCTTCAGATGTAAACTGGTTGCTCTTGTGCGGTCAACAGTCTGTACATGGCAGCTGGCATAGTCTTCATGTGAATCTAGAAAAAATATGACAAGTTAATCAATGTTCCTCACATGCATACTGCAACAGAGCATTGGTGAAGGAACAAGCTAATGTCATACAGGACACAAGGGAAAGGTAAACCCTGAGAGTTTTCATACCCTTATTAAAGTACTGCAGGTGGTGATTTTATGAAACAGTATGCTTAGTATCAATGAACCATCTAAAGTTGTGGACACTTCATATTTTCAGATTAGGGTTCTTCTAAAACATAGAAGAACTATGGGTAAATAACAAAAGAAATGGTGTGCTGGCTTGCTCTCACTTCCACTTTTTACCTTTGAAGAGCAACAAGCCAACAGAGGTAGAATCACAGAATTATGGAACAGTTTGAGTTGGAAGGGACCTCTGAAGGTCATCTAGTCCAACCCCTCTACTGTGGACAAGGGCAACTTTCACTAGATCGGGTTGCTCAAAGCCCTGTCCAACCACCTGACTTTTGAACACTTCTGGGGAGGGGGCATCCACAACCTCTCTGGGCAACCTGTCCCAGTGCTTCACCACCCTCATCATAAAAAAGTCTTCCTTATGCCCAATCTAAACCCCCCCCTCTTTCATTTAAAACCCTTTCCCTCTTCCCCTGCCACTACAGGCCCTGCTAAAAAGTCTCTCTCAATGTTTATTAGAAGCCCTCTTTATATATTGAAAGCCTGCAGTAAGGTCTCCCCACAGCGTTCTCTTCTCCAGGCTGAACAGCCCCAAATCTTGGCCTTTCCTCATAGCAGAGGTGCTCCAGCCCTCGGATCATCTTTGTGGCCCTCCTCTTGACCTGCTCCAACAGGTCCATGTCCTTCTTGTGCTGAGGGCTCCAGAGCTGGACATAGGACTCCAGGTGGGGTCTCACCAGAGCAGAGGGCAGAATCCCCTCCCTCAACCTGCTGGCCACACTGCTTTTGATGCAGCCAGGATACAGTTGGCCTTCTGGGCTGCAAGTACACACTGTGGGCTCATGCCCAATTTTTCATCCACCAGTACCCCCAAGTCCTCCTCCACAGGGCTGCTCTCAATCCATTCATCCTCCCATCTATACTGATGTTGGAGATTGCCCCGACCCGGGTGCAGGACCTTGCACTTGGCCTTTTTGAACTTCATGAGGGTCACATGGGCCCTCTAATGGCATCTCTTTCCTTGATCTTATCCATTGCACCACTGAGCTTTGTGTCACCTGCAAACTTGCTGAGGGTGCACTCAGCTGCAAAACTTGCTGAAGGTGCACTCAATCCCACTGTCTATGTCATTGATGAAGATATTAAAAAGTATTGGTTCCAGTATGGTCCCTTGAGGGACCCCAGTTGTTACTGGTTTCCACTGGTTATTACTGGTAACAGAGATGAACTATGTTATATTGTGTAGACACATTGCCTGCTCTTACCTCACCAACAGCATTTGAGAGAATGTGAACAATTTTCTCATGGGGTGTTGCTACAACACTCTGTCCATTGATTTCAATGATCCGATGGCCAACACGCACGCCTCCTCGCTCTGCTATGCCTCCTCTCATAAGGCTACAGATCTGGAAGGGAAAGGACAGTTTATCGGCATCTGGATAAGGAACAGAGGCTTTAGATCACCCATTCTTGCCTGTAAACTGTAAACCAGCATTTAAGCACAGAGGCTTGCAAGAAATTCTGAAATGTTAAGTTTGTTAGTGACAAGTACCTACTGGATATTCTCTTTGAAGAGCAGAACAAACTGTCAGAAAAGGCTATCTGTGTTCTATGTCACTTGCGCTGGGGTTTGCAAATTTAAGAATGTATGAAGGACCACAGTTTAACAACGTTCAGGATGCAGAAGCCTTACGACAAAAGAGGATCAAGGACAGCCTTTTTCTGAGATCACGCAACGGCTTGGTTAGAGACATGAACGATGCAGACTGAAAACAGTTTCTGCTACACATTTTTTTTTCTCTAATTTAAAACAGTTTTTCTGTTCCTCTGGCTGACTCTGAAGTTGTAGAGTCAAAAATAACCCCAAACCTCCAATTAACTCAGCTTTCATATCTTAGACTTAACACATGTGCAAAGTCCTGCTTGCTGTAAGGGAGAAAATGACAGCTTCCCCCTTCCCACACTGAAACTTACCCACAAATGGGTAAGAAATTTCACGTACATTAAAGTTTAACCGGAGCACATGGAAGCTACTTACAATCCCATTCTGCACGCTGAAGCCCAACTGGTATCTGAGGTCCGGTCTCCTGATCAAGACTGTGGTTACTGGAGGACACCTAACTATGTTCAGTTTAACCCGGGCCTGGTTTTTCAAACCCTGAGAAAAGAAATAATCATGAAAAATGATGGCAAAACCAGAGTGAAACATTTAACATATGCATGGGGAGAGGGGGGGGGGGGGGAAGTGTCAAAATCTTTACATGGGAACAGCCCTGAATAAACAGCTCTTTATATGCATTTTAACAGAATCTGATCGCTGAATGCCACACACAAGCATCACAATATTCAGCGAAATGAGTGACAAAATATCAGATTTTTCTTGCTAACCAGCTGACACAGTTGTTTTAAGAAAACTAGCTTTCTGTTGGCAATTTTTTAATTTGGTAACACAAATTCTGTATAAAAAGAATATTAAACAGGTCTACGCAGTTTACCAAAAAAGCCAATGACTGTGCATGGGAAACAAAATTTTAAATAAGTAGCTAAGACAGTTACAAACAAATGGCTTTCCTAATAGAATATATTCAGTTCTGTCAAGCAAACAGCAGGTCCTGCTCATATCATGCCTGTACAAGCAGCAGTCCTAATTTCCGTTCCTCCTCCCTTCTAAATGAGTTATGTCACATTCATCATAAACTCCTTGCTACCAGAAGAAAATTGAAGGAGGAAAATTTCTTTTTACTGTCAGAATGGTAAAACACTGGAACAGATTACCCAGAAAGGTTGCAGAGTATCCAGCCTTGGAGTTATTTGAACCACAGTGGACAACGCCCTAAGCAACCTGCTCTACTTTGAACCAAAGTGTTGGTCTAGGCCATCTTCAGTGGTGACTGTCAGCCTCAGAGACTCTTTTATCTATGACTCTATGAAACTCACATGTAAAAACGCACATAACTGCAATCTGATCCTTTGTACAATTTCAAGGATTCAGAGCTCTTGGAGATTGTAAAGATATTTTTCTGAAATGCTTCATTCAAAGGATTAGCCATTAATAAATACATAAAATCCACATCAAGAAAGAAATGCTTTATAAAGAATATAGCAACTTCCACCTTCCTTAAGATAACACCTACCAATTCCAATACCTACTTCTGAATTCCTTTTATACATAAAACTGAAATCTGGGTCCCACTGCAACTAACAGGTGTCTGACACTGAATTCGTAAGATTAATTCTGAAAAATAATTCCTGTTGTAGCTAAGGCAATACACTGAAGTCTCTACATCCAGCTTACTGCTGCTGATTCTGTTGCGCTAAACTCCAGATTCAGAGTGACTTGAATCCTGCCAGGGTGAACTGCCTTAGTCTGTTCTGTCAGTGCCTTAAACTGGATGCAATCATCACATGGGAAACAGCTGCCCTCACTTCCACACAGTGCTGAGCTCAGCTTGGCTCATTACTGAAAGTGGCTCCAAAAGAATGGGTGTGTGAACACAAAATGACAAAGCACGTGGTTGTGGGAACTGCCTCCAGGCCACTCTCAGCAGAAAGAAGGTCTGAATGCCATCTCTTCCATGACTATCACAGAATCATAAAATATTTTGGGTTAGAAGGGACCTTTAAAGGTCAACTAGTCCAGCCCTCCCTGTAATCGGCAGGGACATCTTCAACTAGATCAAGGTGCTCAGAGCCTCATCCAACCTGACCTTGAATGTTTCCAGGGGTGGGGCACCTACCACCTCTCTGGGCAACCCGCTCCAGTGTTTCAACACTCTCATTGTAAAAAATTTTGTTCTTTTATCTAGTCTGAATCTACCCTCTTTTAGTTCAAACCCATCACCCCTTGTCTTATCTCAACATGCCGTGGTAAAAAGCCTGTCCCCATCTTTCTTACAAACCCCCTTGAACTACTGAAAGGCTGCAGTGAGGTCTCCCCAGAGCCTTCTCTTCTATAGGCTGACCAGCCCCAACTCTCTCAGCCTTTCTTCATAGGAACTATGGGCTCCTCCACTCCAGTGAGGAGTTAGCAGCACACCACACAAGCTCAAGTGCCACTCATCTTCTATATGTGGGTCTTCATAACAACACACATAGCAGAAGCCAGGGACTAATCAACCCATACTACGCTGTGGGTATGACGTTTACTCAAAAGTCTGAGGGGCTTCTCCCTCAGCCTTCTAAATCCAGAAGGGTAAGAGTCATGCAGAGTACTGGAGACGCCCATTTCTATGAAGACTTTAAGTGTCTATCTTCAGTCATCTGAGTTCACCCAGGTTATCCGCCCTCAACAGAGTTGATATCATTGCACTCTTACTTCCCTGATGAATGCACAAGTTATTTACATGTATTCCTTGAAAAAAATTAATGTGGTCCCCGAAAATAATTTTCTAATTTTACAGAAAGCACATATATTTCAAAAGTGGCTAATTTCCAGTATTATGGAGACTGGTAATATATGCTGATCAGAAACAACTGCATCATTTGACCAACTTATTGCTTATCTATTCCCCGAGTCTGCTTCTGATAGTAGCCAGCACCAGATGCGTCCGGAAAAGATACAAGTAGCATAATACAATTAGGGAATAACCACTACATATGGAAAGCTTCTTCCGAGCTCTGTCAGCTTGCAATTGGTTTATGGTCAATTAGTAGCAGAGATCACATCTGTAATACTGAAACGATCTTATCTGAAGTGCTTGCAAGATACTCTTCTTACCTACATAATATTCTCATCTTTTCAGAGGAGTCCTTACAGCATGCTAAAGGAATCTGAAATCCTGGGATATTTCTGCCACATCTAAATGTGTGCTTAGATGATTCAGTGGTATATATATACTTGTTATCAGAAGCGCTATACGAACAGCTCCAGATGTATGATAATGAAGACCTGCAAACATACAGACTACCTTCTCTTTAGAAACACAAAATAAACATCTAGCAGTTCCTATGGCAACAGCAGTAAGTATAAATGAGGAACAGAACTGCCTGCATAAGCTGGAAACAGCAAAGCTGGTTGCTTCTGCTTTGAGAAAGTACAGATGAGCACAACGAAACTCCACCTGAAAGGCCTCTGAATCAGAGAAGTGTAACTCATCACAGCTTTAGAAATAAAATTGATGTGGGATAGGAAACAAGTATGGTTAACATGAAAAGCCTAAATTTGCAGGGACTTTTGTTCCACTGAAGCTGGCACAAAGATACTTAATATGATTTTTTTTTCCTTCCTTCCATCACAAATGTAAGACTGGTTTTGTCATGTTTTTAGTATGCTACACTTCCAGGCTACCATTTCTACTCACTGAATCTAAAATGGCTGGTTCAGTGACTTATGCATCTATTACTCACCAGAACTCAGCATCAACATTTTTTAGACACCAGAATGAGGAGTCTTTAGAGCAAACGTCTTAGTTCAAGTATTAGGAAACCAATCCATGGACAAAAAATTTTCACTTCATAAATTTACTTTGTAACTGCAAAATTTACTTTGCAATTTTAAAAAGTACAAAGTGCAAAAAAAATTACATAATACAACTTGTCACCAGAAAATTGCCTAAATAAGTAAGTTTAAGAGGTATATTCCTAGAAATCGGAGAAGGATTTCTGTATAGTACACCACTAGCATTACGTGTCTACATCTTATGATCTGCAGGAGCATTGTGGGGCTATTTTAATAAATAACAAAGTCCATATAGCTTCATCTCAAATATTGCCTAGTGATGCATCTTTCCAGCTCTTGAAACTCTGATGTTTATGTACCTATTCCCTTGTATGCTGCAGCTGCCTCACAGTTCAGTTCCAGTTGACCTGCATGCTTTTTGCAGTCACATACTTTCCGACAACTAGAAGAAAGCTGTTCTAATTAAAATACGCCATTTAGCGAAGTGAAGCATCATCTTTTCAAGTAAGTCAGGCAAAGTTTGTACAGAGGATAAGTATGCCTTTAATTCAGAGTTTACAAGTTTTAAAAATAGTTATAAACAAACCAACAAAAAAGCATCAGCTCTGTTTCACCCAGATACTAAGAAGTGTTTAAACAGCTAATTTACAGGTATTTATAGGTATAATTTACAGCTAGCCATATTGGCCTAGGACAGTATCTGGCACCTGTGCCTCCACTGTCACATAAAATTTTATGTGTCTTCAGATGTATATCTGATAATACCTTCCTTCTGACCAAAATACTCTTTTGGAATGAATTTCTGCAGAGTCCTTGTCTATACAAGTAAATGGTGCAGCTCACTTTCTGGGAGTCAGAAAATTGATGTAGCGTAATTCCCACTGTAGTTTAAAGATCATGAAATGGAAAGTGCTATACAAACATTTGGTAAGAATTTACTTTAAAGCTCTATACTTCCTACTCTCCTATTACGCAACCCTTCTAAAACGTGTCACCTCCAGAAACATTCTCCGTACCTTTATAATGCTCTGACATGTTGAGAGTGGTAAACCAACCAAACTGGTCCCATTGATTGACATGATCTGGTCCCCTATGTTCAGCTTTCCACACTTCTCTGCTGGTCCTCCATGCATCATGTTGGCTATGATAACGGTAGGCAAAATGGATCCCCAGCCAGACTCCACAATCACTACACCTAGGATTTCTCCCTTTTGTTTTTCAATGTAAACCTGTATCATAAGAAAAACTGTTTCAAAAAAAAAGCTTCTTCACATATATGGAGCTGACTAACACCCCCACTCCCAAACATTCATAGAACCAACAAACACTTACCCCTCCATAATTGCAACCTGTGTTACTAATTCAAAGGCAAAACAAAACAGGCTACACATTTTACTGCATTTCCTTTGTATTCAAGCATGAAATGATCAATGCTACACAACACAGATTTTGCTTGGTGTGAAACACCCCTCACAATTTATTTCTACATATGAGCAGAGAAAACTGGAGTGGAAGAAACCCTGGTGACATGGGCTTCGGCGGACAAAGCTGAACAAGAAGAGACTGCAAGAGTTTATGACTGTGGTTTGGAAAACTACTACCTGTGTGTTGCAGTGGTGCACTGGTCCATTTTTATTAACCATGATGCAAATCCTTTCAGCAAATTCAATCCTTTAAAATCTGGAATCAGCCACTTTCACAAACATGCGTGCCTCTACAAATTTCATATTGTTTACTGTAATCTGTTAAATTGTATTACTCTGTTAATCTGTTTTAAATTCATTTCATTAACATACAATGTCAAACATGTCTGAAAATCATTTGGTAAAAAGGACACAAACAGATGGCAAATCATTTCACTGCTGATAAATTTTGGGTTCACTGTTTGCCTTTGGTACGGAACTGATGACAGAGTGTCCTACTTGGGAGGATACTGTAGTCTCACAGAGGTCATTTATAGAAAGTATTAAAGGTTTTCTGATTTCTGCCAGCATGGGCATGCAACTGGCACAGAGCAGCTTAATGCTGTCGTGGAAAAAAACAAGACATACATCTTTGCAGTTTTCAGATTTGGAGAAGTGAATCAGGTCATCATTGTACATGTCCTGGGTATTGAGCAAGTCACTATATTCCTTCTGGCTCAGGTCTTCTGGGTTGATTCCGTTTGCCCTCAGGAATTCCTGGTAGGCCACACTAAATGCTTGACCTATGGACTGTGCAATCAGCTGTGCCTGTAGCAGTTCCCACAGAAGAGAGAAGAAAAAAGTGAAACATTCTGATGGTCTTGTCCACTGACAATTTCCCTGTTACAATTACACCGTAAAATGGGTCATCAAGTCAAGCTGATGAACCTACAAGTCAAGTTACTGTAATCCAGTTTAAAAAAAAACTTATGCATTAAAAATTAATTCAAAATACCCACCAAAAGTCAACACATTCACCTGTGCCATAAATCCAGCTTTGCAAGCAATTATAAATGAGAAATATAAATAAAGTCATCTATTCACAGGTAAGAACTCCTAATATAAATGTAAAGGTATACCCACTGCCATGACTGTAGCTCGCACCTACAATTCTTCCCGCATGTGCAGCTCCCAGATCGCCCTCCCTTCTAGCAGAGGCAATGCCATTCGCTGACAAGCCAGCAGTGAAAATGAAAATGTCTACTACAAAACACACAACCATGTTTAAGAGGGTATTTCTTCCTTTTCTTACCCTCCTTTAAAACCATGATGTCCATACTGGCTACTCCTACCCAGTCTCAGATGAAACAGGAGAAGGGCAGCAATTAGTGACCCGATCCAGGCCTTGAAGTGAGTGGAAATGGTCACACACATCTCCACTCTGCTACCTCCTTCAGCCTCTCTCCTCTACATATCTTGTTTCCCTCCAACTCCCATGACTCTGCCAGTCCCCTGCCCCTTTACTTCTCAGCCTGTCCTTTGTGTGCACCCTCTTGCACCTGCAGCTTCCCATAGACTTCTCTGCCCCTAAAGCCACCAAATGTGCCACTCACTACACTGCACTGCTCGCATTGTGAGCAGAAACTGGGCACAAGGCAGACACGGGGAAAGCTGTGTGTTGTGCCAGGTGGACAGTGCAGCTGGAAACAGCAGACTCGAGGGATGGCTCTCTGAGGCAGTGGTCAGGGTTGGTATAAGACGGGTAATGGACAGGAGAAGCAGCAGCACAGCATGGTGCAGAATACTGCTGTGTGTCACTGGAGTGATACATGCAGGACGCACTGTGCGGTGCACAGGAGCTGGCCGTGATGTGTACTGAAACAGTCCCTTGGAGCACAGTGCTGACTGTGGTGAAGAGAGGGAAGAGGAGAACTCCACAGCTGACAACATTGGCCTGGGGGAGTGCTAGTGACGAATTAATACTGCTGAGGTGTATTTTTATACAGCCTACCAGCTGTCTTTCAAGTCCCGTTTGGTCCCTAATAAAGGAAAGGTTCCCAACCCTGAAATAAAAAGTTGACTGTATCTTGAAGCATCTCCAGCTAGCACTAAACCTGTTGATACGAACAGCATGATTGTTGCTGCTGAAAAGGCCAACATCTAGTCTGGTAGTATTTTACCAATGCTCAGATCAACCCAGTTTTGACAGCAAGAACAATACAGCAAGAAAATGGGAAAACTACACCTCCATAGCTCAGTAACCTAGGTGAGGAGATAAATGCAGACTTCACATTCATACATGTGCATCTTCTCTCCAAGAAGAGATCAACACCCATTTAGACACTCAGCATTTGGATACATCACGAGGGTTCAGCTCATTTGAAGATCCAGCTCTAAATATAGTTGAAAATCTGGTGCTGTTCTCCTTAGATAAGGACCCTTCCAAGCAGAGACACATTCTGGCCAACATCCACGTCAGGCTTACAGCTTCTGTGTCAGTTACTAGGCAAATTCTTCTAAATACCCAGCTGTCCCAGAAGAAGAAAAGGTGACAATGATACATACATGAGTTTTATAATTTAAACAGGCTGCACTACTCCACTGGATGTAGTGGATCTTCAAAGCTGCGAGTTCCTTGCTGCTAACAGGTGCTATAATGTCTCCATTCTAACTCTTTCTTAGTCATCTGGGTACCTGAGATAAATTTTGCAAGCTATTTGTGAACTATACCACGACTAAGGAAAACTGATAAAATCTTCTGCAATTGTTCAGCATATTTTCAGGTCACTGAGCCATGCTTTTACTGGATCTACAGGCGTCTACTTTCCAAGCCAATGTCTGGGTGGCATAGGGAGGATCACATCTGACACAAATATGGGCTGATCCAAACAAACCGCAGAAAGTAATGTCAGTGATCCCCAAAGGGAAGCGTAGGTTCCAGCTAGCCAAAGTATTAACAGCAGCCTGGGAAACAGATCCAGGAAGTCTGGATCATAGTCAGATCACCACATGCCGAAGAAAAACAAGTACCAGCCTCTGGCATCTGACGGTTTGATTTTTCCTTCTTCAGCTGGCCAGTAAGAGAGCCAGCAGTGTCCAAACTTCGGCCTAGAAATACAGGAACAGCAGCCTCAAAGCGGGCAGCATATCAGTTGATATTAAACCAAAGAAATATCAGCTACTCTTTTTATTTTCATACTAGTTTCTTTAAAAGCTTTGCAAAACTGGCTTACGTTTTATTTATCTACCTGCATATCCACAATTTTTTATGCTCTTTGTCAAAATTTTGGTAGAGGATTACTTCTGTCAGTGCTCTTGTCCTTACTTTTTAACCTCAGCAGTGGGTCATGTATGTACATTCATCTACTAGCAGATAATTTATCCACACATGGGTTAGGTTAGGGCAGACTCATTGTTACATAAAATCAGCTGCTTATTCCAGAAAACTTTCCCATCTCAAAACCCATGCTGACACGCTGTAGAGTGGCAGACATATGAGGATCTTAAAAGAAACAGATATTTTCACCTTACTTCTCTCAAGGAATACTCTGCTATTCGGAGGACTTAGAACGGAGATTTTATTTCTCCCCCCAAATTATAGGGCTAACTTCATTATGATACTGGCAACTACAAGCTAGCCACTTCAATCTGATATGTTTGATTTTACTTTTCAGTTACTGAGCTTTAAAAAGTGCATAAAATCAGCAAATTATGCACTTTGATTGTGAAGACAGTATCTCAAGTCCTATATAAGGTAACTTAGTAACCTGCACTGTAGACTAAAATTTACTCAAATGTGTCTCTATTCAGCATACTTTGGGACTGCTGGGATTACCAACTTTCTTTGCTGGCTTTTCGATACGATGTCAGGAACTACTCCCCAACACAAGTCTCCTTCCCCTCCTCCTCCTCCAAATAAAATCTCATCTTTCCAATATGTATCCCTTTCCCTGGAAAAATAAGCATCTCTGATATGCTTTCACTCTCACATGCAGAATCTGAGCTGGCATTTGTAAGCTGTGGCAACTGGACCCTCCTCTCATTGTTACTGGCAGGCAATGAAGGAGCTTAAAAATGAGAAACAATTCTATAAACACCAATTTTGTGAATAAACTGTCAGATTCAAACATGCAAACAGAAGGAATGTTCCTCTGCTTAGATGAAACATGTTGTTGCAGTTAATGAACACAGGACCACTTGCAATGGACTTCAAGCCTACCAAAATGAGCTTACATTTCCACCCCTACAAAATTACAAGACAGAAGAATTCCTTACATCCTCAGATTCAAAGACATGGCAAATCATTTTGTACTGCCTCTTTCCATCTTGGGAAGGGTGAGATGCTTCCACATTATCCTGGGAGTTAGACCGTGGCATTCGCCTACGAGCCATCAAAACAACTATATTTCCTATATCTGCAATGTAAGAAATGGTCCGCAGGGGATGATCCATCATGGTTTCCTGGGAATACAAAAAACAACATGAGCAGCAGTTTCAACAAAGTTCTTATTGCACACCTAGTATTTCAAAACCAAACAAATGGCAATAGAAGACCTTTGTTAAATGAAGCCTGTAATACCTGTCATGCATGAAGGGAGATGTCAATAGAAAGCAAGAGCTTCACTTTCCACAAGTAAAGCAACAAGCAAATTTTAAAAATTAACGTTGTGTTTACTGTGGCAAAGCACATAAAGACCTCAGTATCAGAACCCGAATATGCTGGGCATATATGTGCAAAGGACTATGAATTTCAAATTATCACAACCAAATTTACTGGGCTACTCTGGGCACAATTAATACTTGACACTTCATGGCTCGTAAGAAATGAGCTGACTGCCATTAGCTTACCCGCAAATTCTAATAATTTCTACAGTCAGACACACCAAAGTGATTGCATGTGTGACACGGTTCTTCAGCATGATTTCTTACTATGAAATCCTGGAGGGAAATACAATAGCCAGCACTTTTTGAAGGGCAGGTAGGTAAAAGTTTATTTCAGTAGCCTACCACCACAGTACTGACAAAACCACCTTTTTCTATACCTGTGTGTCTGCATTCAGTACTTTTATTCTCTGTGTAGAAATGAAGAGGTCCACTTCAGTCATGGGCTGAGATTCACCTTCTGGAGCCTGCAAATAAATGGATTAAAGTCAAAAAAGCCACATTTGGTAACGTACTTACTAGTGATGTTAGCTCACAAACAGGGGTGCACTAAGACACAGTCACCAGAACAGCAATGCAAGATAAGAGTATTAGACTGCAGAAGCTAAACACAAATATAAGGAAACTACATACATATAAGTGAAAGTGAATTGGATATTATTTGAAAAATCGTTAACCCCATAAAAGCTTCCCTGATATTTTTACTGATTCAGTAAAATTATACCTGACTGCAACATGAACTATATACAAGTTTCATGAAAATTGAAATGATTCTCCCATTTTCTCCATACTATGAATTCCACTTTAAAGAAGGTTCTTCACATGAGCCATAGATGGGCCTAACAATATCTCTTGCTTGAGGAATTTCTATATGGGCTAACAGAGACTGCCAAGACCAACGGAAAAACCTGTACCACAGGTTTAAGCAATTCATAATGCAGTTCTGGTAAAAGACCTTCACAGTCAGACAATATACTATTCAAGCACTAATCCACTTTAGAAGTTGTATTTTGTTAACAGAAAGCAAATGCTGGTAATTTTTTTTTAAATTAGATTTGTTAAAAGGTACTTCAAAATTCCATAAACAAAAAACTTATCACTAAGATGAGTAAATCCCAGCATATTACTGTGTGTACATACATATTTTTTTTCTTTTTTGCATCCAGCAATTTGACACATCTGTGAATCAAACAAAGTGTTCTTCTATAAAGATTAAAAAAAAACAAACAAAAAAATTAATTTTAATCCACCATTTTACAGAGTTAAAACCTTTGCTATGTCAGTCCTGTTTCTTCAGTATGCATTTTGGGTACTGCCTGTAACCATTTGATAAATCCAATCTTTACTCTATTTCTTAACATGAAATGGCTAATGATAAGCAACAAAAAATGGCCAATCAGGCAACCGATTTCTGAGAAATGTCAACGCGTATGGCGGCTCAGAAATAAATCTTAAAAAAAACTTGCTGGATGCAGAAAATAAAAAAACAAAATAAAAAGAAAGGCAAAAAACCCTCCCAGAAAACAAAAGAACAGGCATAACATCAAGCTGATGGAGTTTGTACTGCACCTTCTTCCTGCTTTTGGCTAATTTCTGGGCCATCTGCTTAGCATGGAACAAACAGAGACAGGAGAATAGTTAGAGAAGACCTTACAGAGACTCCAAGTCAAGCAGGAATCTGCACGCTAATGCCAGGGCTCACAGGCTACTAGCTGTTCTAAACTAGTCCCTGCTTACATTAATTACCTCATTTTCTTTTTAGCTTAAAAAATATTTTAAAATTTCATGTTTAGCACAATTACTTTAAAAAATGAAAAGAAACTGCACCAAAAGAGTCAGGAAGAACACAAATGTTTTTTTGTTTGTTTGTTTCATTTAAAACATTACTTGCAACAAACAAGGGGTTTTCTTTTGTGGGGTTTTTTTCTTTTTTCTTTTTTTTAAGTGGGAAAAACAAAAAAGGAGCTTCCCCTCATTTACAGCAGTGTAAATCATGAGGTCACTTCTTTTGAAGCAACACTAGTGTAAAAGGTGAGAGAATAATGAAAGAATAATCTTAACCATTAGTATGTCAGCTTTTTCAGATCTAAAGAATTTAAATTAAAGTTTTCTAAAATAACCTCCCTAAAACTATGCTACTTTTTCCTGGAAAAACAAAATGACAGAAGGTAACTTCCAGCTCCATTTTCTCCTCCTTCTGTGCAGCTATACTCATACCAATGTTAGTACTGCAGATCTGGATAACAGGTTCTCCTGTGACACCTGCACAAAGGTATGTCCATACTACCACAATTTTTCAAGAAGGCAGTGGAGCATGTACTTCCGTTTCACGAACAACTGAAAACAGGTCTCTTGTCACTAAGTAGATTAACTGATTTACATCCAGACTTATATCAACCCATTGCACCAAACTGATTCCTTATGTGCTACTACTGTGGCAACAATAACACCGCAAATAAGCATCATTCTTACTATCTTGCAAACATTAATTCAAACCAAAGTGAACTGAACTCACAGACCTGCTTACAGAAGAAATGCAATACTCACCAGGCTGGCAGATATCCTTTTACTTCCAACAGTAACAGCCCCTCAGCTAATTAAATTAAGAGAAGTTCTTGTGGTGGGAAGGAGGGTTACTGTTACAGGCTTCATAAAGATTCAAAGCTAACTACTTTCATGAAGAACAAACAGGAGGCCTGACAAGACACATCAAACGTTTTATACTGATGCTCACAACTTAAATCTGTCAAATTTCATCTAAACAAATCTGCAAGCAGCTACTAAAGATCATGCTGCTTATTTATCAAAATAAACATTCTCACACCAGCTTTTAGTCATCTTTTTCAATCTAAGAAATATTTGATAGCCTGGTGATGGCAAACTATTGCAAAAGCAATTAGAACTGCCTCATGCTGCAGGCTCCTCATTACATTAATGTTAATTTACATTGGTACTCAGAAATAATATACTCATCTTGAGTAACAGCTGCTTGCCATACACTGGGCAAGGAGGAGTCACTCATCAGATAAAGCATTCAAATTGCTTTCCAAAATCAAGATCTCCTTCAGGCAATTTCTACCCATCCCCAAACCTTCCAGTGATGGACCTCACAAAAGAAGAAAACCACAGGCCAGAAAGCAGAAAAAGGGGGAAACCTGGAGCTAGAGGTTTACAATGCAGAATCAAAGATTAATTAAAATACACTATCATTCAATTTATTGAAAATTCTGCTCTTGCACTGGTAGTATCTAATCTTAGTAGTATTTTAATTTTTTGAAGAATGACTTTAAAATATTTTACAAAACTAAGGTGATGATATGGAACAATCAATTTTAGTAAGTGATTTAACACTACATAGAAATGTCATAAAACAAGTTATGGTCCACAAAAAAACAAATTAGGATAATTCTATGCAAGACACTTTATCAGACTAATCCTCTTCATCACCATGTTCTTTTGCTGATTTAGATTAAAAAATTCTTTCTATATTCTTAGAAAAAACAGAATACTTAATCTCAACAAAATATAAATTTTTAAAAATATCTAGACTCCAGGCCTTTCATTTAAGGTAAATGAACTGTAACTATGTATCTAGCAGCAACTTCCAAAACTATAAATTGTTAAAAATGAGCAAGCTTCCACTTTTGCTACAGGGATGTCTTAAACACACTCAACCCATTTAACCTCTACAAAAAACGTACTGCAACTCAGTGAACACCCAGATGACACCAAGTAAACAAAATGTGCAGAATATTAAATTCTTTCCACACATCGGTTCTATCTTAAAGTACATTCAGTAATTAAATCAGTTGCTGTCTAAAACTGTCCAAACCTGCCACACAGCTCAAATCTGCCGATCAAAAATAAAAACGAAAATTAACTGTTAGTTCACATGTGAAATGTAACAGCACATATCAGCTGTGAACTTTAATAATGAACATCAACATTTATTAGGTACAACGAATCCACTCCAAATAAAATATGAAAAGATATTTCTTTCTGTGCTATCTGAAGAAATGAGACTACAGTCTGGAAACAGCGAAACACCTTTTCTATTACCAAAAGTACCTCCTAGTGGAAATATGAAATAACTATGTTTCACAAATGGCTTCAAAGCAGTGTATCTGTTTTAACATATTTGGACTTCACAGAGACCAATGCTCAAGCACAAATCACAGAATGTTCAGGGTTGGAAGGGACCTCTGTGGGTCATCTAGTCCAACCCCCCTGCCAAAGCAGAGTCACCTAGAACAGGCTGCAGAGGACCTCATGCAGACCAGTTTTGAGTATCTCCAGAGAAGGAGACTCTACAACCTCCCCGGGCAGCCTGTTCCAGTGCTCCGTCATCTTTCTCATGTTCAGACGGAACTTCCTGTGCCTCCGTTTGTGCCCGTTGCCCCTTGTGCTGTCGCTGGGCACTACTGAAAAGAGTCTGGCCCCATCCTCCTGACACCCACCCTTAAGATATATACAAGTATTTATAAGGTCCTCTCTCAGCCTTACTCAGGCTGAACAAGCCCAGCTCCCTCAGCCTCTCCTCATAGGAGAGATGCTCCAGTCCCCTCACCATCCTTGTAGCCCTCCGCTGGACTCTCTCCAGTAGCTCCTCATCTTTCTTGAACTGGGGAGCCCAGAACTGGATGCAGTCCTCCAGATGAGGCCTCACTAGGGCAGTGTAGAGGGGAAGGAGAACCTCTTTCAACCTGCTGGCCACACTCTTCTTAATGCACCCCAGGATACCATTGGCCTTCCTGGCAACCAGGGCACACTGCTGGCTCATGGTCAACTTGTCATCAATTCTCGTACTTTTAAGTGAAGAAATACTTGCTTAAAGAAGCAGCATGGGGAATTGTTTTCAAAATCTGTTCACATTCTAAATGAATGACTATATGGTCTGAAGGAACTGGACAAGGTCCTGTGCAGCCTGCTGTAGGTGACCCTGCTTTGGCAGGAGGGTTGGACTAGATGACCCACAGACGTCCCTTCCAACCCCTACCATTCTGTGATTCTGTGAATTGATAACATGAAGCATTATAAGGATTATTAACTTCAAAAGGAACACACTCATATGCAAAGGTATGTGTACACAACAGGCCTTAAACAAAACTATTCCCCCCTTTTTAATGCTCTTAACTTCAAGTATGCAAATTTTTAAAAGCTCATTCTTAATTCATAACCTTTGTTTTCTTTAACTACAGGGAAATGCTTCACATGCAACACCTAACATACTCTGTGAACAAATGTGAGTAGGGCACAAGTATCATAGTCATAGTGCAAGCAGTATTGTACACTTTTGGGCTAAAGGCTACCTAATGTAGTAATAAATCTGACAGCAGGGACTCGATCTCTCGTAATTAATTTCTCACTACTAAAGTTTAGCTTTAATAGCAATCAGCAATAAAACCAGCCAAAACCAACTCTAATAAACCAAAGATCCTAAGGTGCAGCGAGGTATATTTATATTGCCTGAGCTGCGCCTAGAAGCAGAAAAGCAGTAACTATCAAAGAAGTGTACAATGGTATTGTACACTAAGCCAGTAACTTTCTGAAATACACTTACAGTTTCAGAAAATTATGCACACAAGCTAGGGTTTTATCAGGTCAACAGCGCAACTACTTGGGCCTCCACCCTGAGACAAATTCACTACAACCAAGAATATGCATGCCTGCTGATTTATATGGATGTATAAATTATGGGTTTTATGAGTGAACAGAGCTGAACAGCATAGCAGACTCTGTAAAGGAAAGTCTCCACTGTAGCTTTGGGAAGAACCAACCAAGACCTGCCAGGGCTGAGAAAGCTGAGTGAAAAATCTTTTTAAGAAATGTCACCGAATCCAGAGTCTCCAACAAACACAGATAAACCATTCTTTTTCAACAGGCCCAGTAGTTGCTTAACTTTGTGGAAGCTTCTACAGAGATGGCAGAAGATGACTGATCTGTAGGAAGGCTACCTCTCTCTGCCTCCTCTAGAATGCTAGAGTGTTGGTGATTTTCAGAGACACGGTTGCAAGAACTTCTGTATTTGAACACCAGCAAAATTACAACTTCTGGAAGTCTCAATGCTTCTAGTTGAGGCGTCCCTGTGAAAGTTTCATACATAGACCGAACCGAACACCTGGCATGAAAAACATTGGAAGGAATAGTAACAGCATGAAGCATCAGCCAAGCTTAATAGACAGTGCTATTGGCCTGCTGATAACATGCTGTCTCTCTTCCTCTCTCCTGTATGCAATTGCACACAGAGTCTGAGCTGGAAACCAAAATAAACTATACAAAAGAAGAACACACAAATATTAAACTAAGGATAACTTTCAGATAAGATTGTGTTTGTTAGATGAATCAGGAGAAGATGAAGCTGTGTGCCTACCACCCTGCCGTGTATGGGGAGCGGGAATATTGCAACATGCTCTACAACCCTGCAATACTTCATCCACACACCTTATTTTCAGTTGACAATGTCATCACAGTAACTTACAATACAGCAGCATGCCCATTGCTCGTTGTGGCCCATACAGAAATTGGTGGGCATTTCTGTTTTCCAAACAAACAAAGCAAATGTAACAGATTCCAGGAAAAACTATTTTGTTCCATACATCTCTGTATCATGACAGGCTTTTGTTTTTCTTCTGCTTAAATCAGCTCATAGGTATTAAGTGGTGGAGAAACTAGTATCCACAGCAGGGTCAAAAATAACTGCAGACGTTATCACAGTACTATTTTCATCAAGTGCCCAGCCAGAGGCAGTTGCAGTACTTATTAGGTATACCCTAAACCTGTTGTTCCTCAATGCCCAGGTAATACATAACTCAGACCATCACTCACTTCAGATTCTGGCTTAGAGTACATGGCACGTGTATTACTATCACTAATTAAAATGACCTGGTAACTTCTCCTTATCAGCCTTGTTCCAAAAGCAGCATTATACATGTGATTTACTTTGCAGAAAGAAAGATGAGGTACTTAAACTTTCTGCAATCACAGACAACCCCCACACGACAAAACTACTGCTTACTTAAGAAGTTCATATCCACAATATTCAGGCATCTACATGAGAAGAGAAGCAGCAGGAGTTACTGCTCACCTTGATCCTGCTGACAGCTTCCTGAGCCTGCATCATTCTCACATTCTTGGAGGGAGTTTTATCAGAAAGGAGCTGAGTTGAGCCAAGGTAATTGGCAGCAAAAATGATTCCATCAATTAAGTCTTCAGGATCGCAAGGTCCAGGAACTGTAACAAAGCAAATCAATCGCTGAAAAAAATCATGCTGGACCATGGCAAAACAGCAGCACTCTGACATCCTGAGCCTGCACCTCATGGCTGCAATTCCTCCTCTGAAATACTTCAGTTTAGCAAGTTGATATGGTAACCAGTACTTTCAAAGGTACAAAACACCAAGCGAACGCTCTCAACCTCTCTCCAGCAAAAGCTGTAACTGTTAATCCAGACTCTCTCTCACAACAGCTCATTCTTTTGTGAACATGGATCACCTTGCAGCAAAATAGTCTCTGTGGGTTTTCACTGTAATAAAGGGACAGACAGTTACTCAGCTTGCCCCTCATCCCGCAAAACCAGCCTTGCAATTCTAAAACCATCAGTCACAAACAGAAGGAGGAAGGGTGCAATTTAATAACAGCCATCAGCCACCTGCTCACTTGTGTGTTAGCTGCAGTTAGTGCGACAGGCAGAGGAACGCCCCTGGAAATGCTTTACAGGTACGACACGTCTCCCCTTACCAAAAAGACTGATTGCCCAATTAAGCAAAGTACTTCTATGCCATAGATTTCTAAAAATCATTCTTCGTCTCAACAAGGATACTGAGGTAAAGTACAGAGTTAAACAAAAAATGTTCAATACAGAGCATGGGATGTCCTGACAGCAAAACAACTCTCCCACAGACCTTACTATCAACGATACCACAGATTCTTAATGAGCTGACTCCCATAAACTTCTGTGGAAAGTCAGAGGGTGGTGAAGCATTCACTGCCTAACAGTGCAAACCCTTACAAAGCAGCTTTTATGATCTGTAAGTGTTTTGGTGTTTGGCAATTATATCTAAAAATTGTGTACATAAAAAAGTTCTATTTTAACACCTTGCTACATGTTAAAGTTGTCATGATCCAACAGAGAGGCTGGTCAACCTAAGAAGATGCCTGTTTTCTTACAAGTAAGGAAAAACAATCGATGTCAAGACAAGTGAAAATGCAAATCATCTTAAAGAATGCTAATGGTAAAAGTGTCCACATTTTGTCACCAAAAAAAAAAACCCTACCCTGTATTTAGGTTTGCCTTTTTTTTCCTCTGGCTCCAGAGAAATGCAAGTCATTAAGATTAAAATAAGAGAAGAAAGAGCTAGAGGTAAGTATTACACTGAAACGATGCACACAGACAGAAGTAGATGTACAAATCTTATGAGCAAGCTTGTCTCCTTTACGGGTTCTTTAAATATGAAAATTTATGACTAGTAATTTTAAAATGCTCATCTTCAGTGTGCAGAATTTGTTCAGCTACTATGTATATGGAAAGCTCTCAAAATGAACAAGTCACAAGTACATGACCCAAAGAAATGGATTTTTTTCCTTAGGAACATCTATGCATCTGGAAGTACTACATATCTGCACAATCTTCCAGTCCTGAAACCACACAGCATTTTAAGTGTTGCTATCTGTTACTCTACAGGTCAAGGACTTTTCACCACTTCCACCACCTCACCATAAAGGGTACAAAACACTGTATGGTACAATTTCTAATCAAAACACAAAACCCACAAATATAGACTGACAAAGGTGTAGATAAGACTCCCAGAAGGAAGCATATTAAAACCAAAAAAGGTATGTGCTCTATTTTCATCTGAGGTGAACTCACAGACAGTACTGCTTTTTATTACCTCTGACAATGAAATTATTATGTGAACGAAAGTGTAGCATAGGGGCTAGCAATTTTTTCTTGGACTGCTAGTGTATTAAAATGGAAAAACTGTTTTTCTAAGGAATTTTGCACTGGAACAAGGTTTAAATGTATTTTAGTGGCAATTTTTTTTTTTTTTTTTAAGGAAGGGAGGATTACATAAGATAGCCCTTGATAGGCAGGGCTACCACTAGGAGATGAATTTCAGTTCTAAGAGAGATCCTTCAGTACAGCAAAATTCCAAAGCTCAGCTAGTTGCAAAACAATATATGAAATTTATGTCAGTTGACCTGCTGGCCACAGATTCCAAAATATGCAGCTCATACACTGAAGACTAATAGTGATCAATTTGTAGTCTAAAGAGGATGATCACATATTTGTTTAAACACAGCACACTATAAATCAATCCAAGGAGTTCCCAGACAGTCCAAATGATGTATCACATCAACTGTATTTCTGGCATTTCATCAAGCATATGGAACAACCGCTGTCAGGGGAAAACAAATGAAACTTTGAATTTTCTGCTTCTGTCGTTCACTCATAACAAAATAACTGGGTTTTACAGCATGCAGTCTTCCTGTATACACAGGATGCAGACTCAGACAAAAGGTAACAGCAGTTCATGTAGCAGCTAACTCGCTTTTTCACATTGTTCTGAATAAATTTAGCAGTAGTACAGGCGCAAGCTTAACTCTAAAACAGGAAGCACTATTTAATTAGAGGACAAGTAGCTGCAAAGCAGTGCAGATTTTCTCTGGCAGGCCTGCCAATTAATCCAATTAATTCAATTCTGCTAATTAATCCAGCTGAGATTGGATTGAGCCTGCCAATTGAAATCAGTGCTGGAGAAAGCACTACATTCTTCTTGCCTAAACTATTTTCCTTGTCCACACACATTCATGTGTTGTGTAAATGCCATGAAAAAAATCAGTAGTGTTTTAAGGGATACTGATTAAAAAAAACAGTGGAACTGAGACAGAAACTATGAAGGAAACGCTAAAAAACAAAAGCTCCATGTTTCTGAACTTCTGAAAGAGCACAGTAGGATTCAGCTCAGGTTCCAGACTGGACACAATTTAATCTAAATCACTATACCCAACTAGCAGCTTTCCTATTCAGAAAAAAAAAAAAAAAAGAAAAAAAAATTATACAGTATAAATATTAGAGGTTTTTGCATATGAAAAAGATTTAGAAATTGTAGAACTATCTTACCTTCAACATAGGTTGGAAATGAAGCCAAGCTTTTTCTGGACTGTAATTAAGACAAAAAGGATTTCAAACAGAACAGAGCATGCACAAATACGCATTAAAAACTTCTCCATGCCAAAAAAATAAAGAAGTCATAGTTATTACCAGAGGAAGAGCACTATTTATTAAGATTTATTATTACATTTAGTATTTTCAAACTCTAAGCGCCTACTAGAGATAAATTCAATGTATTCCATTTGTGTCTTTAACTATCAGACAACATGCTAGGCCCAGTTTTCAGTTACTTGTTCGTGTTCAATAGTATATTAACTGTCTACCAATAGGTGCTCCACTTTTACTAATCAAGAAGTACGTAGGGAAATATATCTCAAAGACACTGGATCTTCCAAATAAAAATAAACACATGCAGGAATATATAAAATTAGGCTACACTGTTATTATTCATGACTGAAACCATCAGCCCAGTCAGTTATTTAACCACAAACTTATGTTATTCATTAACCAATTTCTGTTATTCATTAGTACCGTTCTTACATGTATCCCTCAGATTAATGCAGCCTAAAAAACTTTCTAAATTTTACCAGGTTAGGTAGCAACCTCTTTTCTGTGGAGTAGCTGACTTCACTAACACCTCACCACCAACAATGTTTACACTGTATAAAGCACAAAACCACATCTCATAGCTTGAATTTTGTAAAAGGTGAACAAATGAAAAAAATCTTGACTTGCACATGTAAATACACAGTCTAAAGAAAGACCTTACTTTCAACTGCAATTTTATGTGAAAGGCTGTGGCTAACACTTCAAACACCCGAAAGCTACAGCTTTCAGTGAGTAAGACTTGCCGTTTATCAAAGAAAATTCTGTATGGCAATATACAGATGGTAACAGGTATACTGAAATATCTGCTGCTATTATATGTGTTACAGGTAAGAATTTTGCATAGTCCAAGGATCACAAAACTTCAATGAATCTGCAACTGCCTGTACTAGCAGTAACTCCTCCAATGACTGCTTAATACAGTTTTATTACAAGAAAATCTATATATGATCAGAATAATGCATAATATCTTACAAGATTTTCAGTATATTTCCAGTCAACAGTCATTGAAATATATGCCAAATTATTTTCCTTTATGATGGGCAACTTACTACGTTCTGTGTATTAGTGGAAAAAACAGGTAAACTAAGCAGGTCACAGTTATGTGACAGGTTGAGTGACTAACTCCAGGGAGTGTTTACCTTTGTAACAAATAGAAAAGCGATGTAATATTTTTCAGTCAATGATGTTCATCTTGCTACAAAACAAAACAACTTGTGAAATAAGAACAAAAGGTGTGTGACACAGACAGCACAGCCTTTAAGTACTTGCTGCTCCTTATGAAAATGACTAAACTGTACTGCAAAACCAAGAAAGCTGTCATTCAGAGATTGTACTGGAATAAATAAAGATGTCAATAAACAACTATCTCCTGCTGTCAAACCATTTAAGCTGCTGTGAGGACACCGACATGCCTTTTCAGATCTGTGGCTTTCATCTCTGCAGATGAACGTTTTTACTGGACCACCTACCCACACTACCTGTGAGCACATCTTAAAAACTGGAATGAGTAGCACCTTGTTTGTTTCTTCCTTCGTGTACGTTTATCAATATCTAAAAGCTTTTAAAAATTAGCATATATATGAAATGACAAAATCTCTACTAAAGAAAGCTAAAAGCTTTAACAAGCTAACAATATAGCAGATGAAGATTTAATGCCACAATCAACTGTTGCAGGCTTTAGCACAAGAGAAACTGAGTTTCTTACGTCTTTTGAAACCTCTCATTATTTTCGAAATGCAAATACAGACTGGCACAAAGACATACACGTTACAAGCTTTTTTATCCCTGTATAGTAGCAAAAGAAAAAAAGAAAGAATGGATTACTAATTAGCATTTCAATTTTAACCAGTATCTCCAGTTACAGTAGATCAGTTTTTTTCATTGTGGAAGATAACTCATGCATTGCCATCAGTAACAATACAGCATCATGTTAGACTAGTTTCCAGATTTGTTTCAAGTTTAAAAAACAAAAAGCAAATAAGCCAAATATTTGCAGATTTTTCTGTTTACAGAGCCAGCCATTCTATACCAATCCAAATACTTTTATGTCAAATGATTGTCTTTTCACACTGCGAGAAGTTCTACTCACACTTCTCATTTGGTGTTGGTGGAACTACTGCAGTGCAAAAAGTTGCCAGGTGAGAGAGGAAAAAAAAACAAAAGAAAAAAGGAAGTACGTATTTAGCTCTTTATTTTGAGGAGCCTGGAGTCAGGAACTGAATTCTGACTGTGAATCACTGGCAGGTGAGTTTCTACAATGACAAAACATTAAGCAGCATAAATTACTACCTAATTAATTTTCTTTAAGGAAGCTTTTTAATCCGGCTAAGAAATATTATTTTTTTTTGCAGGCAGACATTCTGCATTGAAAAAAGAAATCAGCTTCTTCCTTTTGCCTCTAACACAGAGGTGAGGATGGCCGTTCGGTAAATCAATACCTCCCAACCTGTTAAACAGATTTCATGGCAGCAGAACACAGAGTCAGAAATGCCATGATAAACAGTCTTAAGCAAATTAGAGGTTCAGTCAGACAGCCAGGCAAGCACAGAGGAAAGGAGCTACAAATCAGATTTTCAAGTTTGTTGCAATTTTGGAAGAAGAGAAGGGATTGCACAGGTACAAGGGGGAAAGGAAAATAAAAAGGCATAAAAGGCATAAAATGCCACAATAAATGTGGCATTTAGAAAGATTTCACTCTACCTCTTTATTAGTGGAGGCCTCTGCTGTACTGCAGACATCCTGGTGATGTTGCCTACTTGACGATTCAGCACCCCGAGGTGAAGAGGAATCTGGAGATGGAGACTAAGCATGACAAGAAAAATAAACAATAGTCTGAGTGACCAATGTACAAACCATTCTTTCATCTTTTCCTCTAACTTGGCAGTGGAAATAATAGATGAGGGGGGAGGGGAAGAAACTAGACAAACACTTTTTTCATGTTGTAACCCTTGCTTTTTATCATAATAATCATGCATCAGTCTCTCATTGGACTTATTCTGAGCAGCTCAATCATTTTAAAAACATCTGTGTTTATGTGTCAGTAAGGTATGAAATGAAGCAGTTAGAAAAATAAAAAGTTGTACTCAGCGACAAGCAACAGTTAGCCAAAAAGTGTCATAAAATTGTATTTTTGCAAGGTGAATGGAGTATCGTCTGATATTGGTATTAGGCCAACTACTTACTGTCAGCATTCAACTAAGCTGCAGTTACAGGACTTTCAGTTGCAAAAGTACATGCTTGTTGCATGCAGGCAAATGACTGTGAGCTTACTGAAGGCTGCAGGCAATGCAGACCGATGTTCCAAGATCTGACATTGTGGGAAACATAAACTCGCTAAGTAGTAAGGTGTGATGGGAGACAGGTGACTTGACCATGATCAGAACACAGGGATTCAGCTAAAGATTGCTTAGCTGTCAAATTGGGGAGAGTAAAGAAAAGACTCCAGTTTCGTCATAAGCACACATGCTGTCAGGTATAACTAACCTGAAGTGCTAAACTAAGCAGAGGCAGGCTGAAGACATTGTCCATAAATGTTATTCCATCATCTTAGAAAACAACTTTTATAAATTGTGCAAAGCCATACTAATGTGTTCAAGGACTTATGAATATATTCAAGGACTACTCAATACCAGCATAATCAAGGACTGTGATTCCTCATCCTAGATACAGTGCAAACTTAGAAAATATTTCACAGTTTGTGCTATGGTCTTAGCATCATACATGCTGTCTAGACCAGATTTCTCCTTTTTCTCCCTTCATCGTAAACAATTCAGTGGAGAAACTGTCTTTCCAGTCATGTCCTAGTCATTCATGATGACCAAGAATGTCACAGCAGAAAAACAAAGGGAACAGCGTAGAAACATGGCATTGTGGAATATCTAGATCTATGTGATCCATAAGCAAGTATCTTGGTAAAGTGAAAGAATACTCTAATCATAGGCAATTCCTAAAGAATGCTGGTGACACTAAAAAGCTGTAGCAAGGTATCTGAAGTCCAGAGCAGGGCGGACTGGTATGGGGGTATGACACAAGAACACTTGAGTGTTGAATTAATGAAGCTGACCGAAATGAAAGACAGTACACAATTTCCACCCAGTAGGCATTTTTTAAAGGCAGATCTGAAGGAAATACCTGCAAAACAAGCCAGTGTGCATGCCAGAATGTGAACCCTCAAAGGAAGGTTTAACATTTAGCTATGCAAGCTGAGTGCTTAGCCCAGCAGCCCTGGCATTCTACACTCTCGTTTGACATAGGGAGTTTGGCCCTAGCTTTGCTAGCTCCACATTCATCACTGATGGTGAAATAGTCAAATACTATTCTTCTGGTTTCATAAACAATTACATTACAGCGCTTTTTTCTAAGCCAATGAGTTATACCGGAAAAGGGCTACATTTCCAGTCTCTGAGTGGTGGCAGTTCCAACGCAGGAGTCCCCTCCTGCTATGCCTCAAATCCAGCCGAAATACTGAAATCTACGAAACAGTGTGTTTAAATAAAAAAAAAAAATCTAAGGTTTGCAAGCTTAGCTTCACAGATACGGAACAAAACAAGAAAACAAAATCCCCTTCTCCTCTTCTTTCTTTTTACCCTCGTTCCTTTAAAATGTATATCTTTGATAATTACTAAAAGTTAGAATTGTAGTTAACTAATAAAGTCTTCCAAAGAGTTAAGACACAATTCCTTAAACTTCTCTCCTGGGTAAAAGCGCAGTCCTTGCATTGCCCTATAATCTTGAATTACAGCTGCAGGGCAAAAAGGAGATGCAGCTGTGAAACCGTCCCTGACCAGATGCAGCTGTTGAATGGCCCCTAGAACACTGGCATGTGCTTGTGCCATCAGACTGAAGGACAGCTCATTGCACAGCTGGCATTCACCCAGGAACTGTGGGAGAGACGCAGGCTCCCCTTTTTTACTGTGTAACTACCAGAGTCTCTGTGCCACAGCGACTCAACTGCACAAATGGCAACTCCTGCTTACTTAAGGAAGCATCCTCACAGTGCGCACATTCCCAATAGTTACATAATAATTTCTGTGTAAGGATTAAACGCAAAAGGTACACAATCCTAGCAACCTAATAATGACATCGGGATATCGTAGGATTGACCTATAAACAGTAAACAAACAAACAAAGTAAAGCATATCATATTTTAGCATCAAATGTTTCCACACACACACAAAAAAAGTTGTTTAACATGCCTGGAAGTTCTCATACTCACACACTAAGGTGGTAACAATAAATGAGTTCATTTAAACAAGTTGGCTTTTGACACTAAGAAATTTTGTAGCATTTAAAACATATTAACAGTCACTCCAGTAGCACTACAAATACCTTTACTCAGTTATTTTCATCTACAAGTATTAGAACTAAGCAACCATCAAAATGATCACACAGCTTTCCATGTGCTCTGTTTGAATGCGTGCTAAAACTTTTCTGGAGGAAAAAACCCCAGTACTGAAGCTACCAAACCCAAATATCAAACATCCTACAAAGTTTGCTGCATGACATGACAGAAGAGCTGCCCCCAAAAACATCTGTGCAAAAATATTCAGTCTTTGAAGAATAAACACTCGATTCTCTTCTGCATCAAAATGCATTTTGAGAGGTATCGTACACAACGCATAAGGAACGAAGGCAGTCACTGCAATAACAAGAAATATTTTGATACGTCATGGTGGACAGAACTTGCATAGCCACTCAAAACACTAAAACTGAAGTCTAAAATAAATGCTTAGTGACTGCTTCCTTGTCTGCTAACAAAACAAGTTTTAGAAGCCTAACAAAAATGCTATCAGAACAAACATAGTACGTTCACACAAAGCATGCTGTTATTACATAGACAGGTCCATCAATGGAATTGCAAAGCATTTTCTTAAGTGCAGCAATAAAGAAGTACAAGTTACCCCATTTCTCCTCCTGAATACCTACTTACATTTTTCTTACGATACTCGACCTGGTACATCCAAAAATTCTCCATCGCAGTTTTGGCTTTCTTTGACTCTAACAAACATGCAACCCACTCCACCTGAGAAACCTTCCTTGCTATTGTGCAGGCAGGTTTAGTAACAGAACTTGTAACAGGAGAGGACTGTGTTGCATCCTGTTGCGTCTAACCTATCCAGGTCAACCCAGCTGGATAACTGAACAGCTCATGAAGACAACGTAACTGACATTGAAACATCTTCAAATACAATCACCTGCTCTTGCTTTATAAAAGCAGTGCTGTTTCACCTGCTTTTCATATAAGCAGCAGTTTGTTCCACAAGACTATAAGCTTGAGCTTCACACCATCACACAACAAGACTACAATTGAGGGGATGAAATAAAAAAAATACTTCAGCAATGTAAGATTCGCTTAAACAAAAGGCCATTACATACATTACACTAATGCCCACCTACTGGCTTCTTGGCAGAGGAATGGCAAATACAGTCTTTCTGTACATTAGCTCAGAGGAGACAACTGGATAAAGCAAGGCTTTGAAATTCATTTTATTTCAGTGATAAAAAGTCTTCTGACAGGTACCCGTACACACTAGGCAAAGGTCAAAACACTGTGACATATTCAGGTCCAACATGCAAGTATAGTCAGATGCATAATTTAACAAGCACCGCCCAGTACAGCACAACTATGGCAGTAATCTCCTAGGTTTTAGCACAACTATGTTGTGGCAGAATATCTACTGTTATTTGAACAGTTCAAATTCAATTCACTAAAATGTAGACTGAGACCATCAACGTATGTTCATAGCTTTTTGATGGCCTAACGTACCCATGAAGAATGGGGCTGAAAGCTAATTTTCCTTACAATATAACGGGTCATCATTACTGGCTGTCTTTGTTTAAGTTGCTTTAACTACAGTGTTAAAAACGGAGGTTTTGAAAAAATAAAACCAGCTCAGAAGTATTGTACACATATATGCTTACCGTGGCAATTTAATTTATAACTGTAACACAAGGATGAAACTTAAGTTTGTACTGCAGTTGTGGTGTAATTGTAACTGTGGTGCAGGTGCCTCTGCACACACCCAGTGCGCCTACCCATCAGTCTACTGCGTGGTCCAGGACCCAGCCCTGCCAGTTTGTGCACAGAGGATAAAACCAGTTGACTTGAGACAAGGTAACTCACTGAACTGCTCGCTTCAGAACAAAGTATTTGACTAATTGCTATAGGATCTCTACATACAGGAATTTCAGGCAGCCTCAGAGATTCCCCCAGCAAGCTCCTCCTGTGCACATGACAAGTGAGAGGCACCATTCATCGATTCAGGGTGCTAACTACCATCCTGGGCAGGCACTCTGGCTGACCCAACAGCTCCCCCACATAATTTCTGCTGCAAAAATGACCAAGAAGTACACAGATAAGACACTTGACAGCAGACAACCGAAACTACTCCTGCAGACGCAGATAACATCATGTACAACAGTCCTATGTACAGTTCACACAGCAGGTGCTCTGTTTGTAGCTTAAGGTAAACTATAGCAATGGTTCACGTTGAGTTCACATAGAGTGGTCATGTAGGATCACAGACTAGCTGTATTTAAGACCCAGGAACAAAAGCAGTTTGGAGAGTCTTAGTTTGGGCAATTTCCCCTGACCCAGCTGACAATGCCCTGCAAGGACAGAGCCTCCTGCCACTTGCCACCATCTGGACAATGACTGACAACCCCACTTGAGAGATCTGACTGTCCACACATTACACTATGAATAAACTAGCTTTTTTAAAACCAACACACTATCCATGAGTGTCTGCAAAACACCAATTAATTGTACTGAAGAACTACAGCTCAGTGAAGTTAAAAAATAC